ATTTCCTGTCCTCGGGCTCACTTTCTCTGTCCTGTTCCTCCTGTCACCCTCTCAGCTCTCTTGTCTGCCTTCCTCCCTCTGCCCCTCAGGGCTTTCAAAGACTTCAGACCAGGCCTACATTGAGTTTGAGAGCATCGAGGCCATTGTGAAGACAGCCAGCCGCACTAAGTTCTTCATTGAGTTCTACTCCACCTGCCTGGAGGGTCAGAGGAGGCCCAGGGCTGGAGTGGGCCGAGGGGGTTGGGGGGGTGCAAGCTGCCCAAGGAGGATGGGGGCCCAAGCTGCTTAGAGCAGCGAGCCCCCTAGTTAGGGGGAAGGGTAGCTGGGAGGTGGCATTCAGTTGGGTGTCCCCTACCCCCTCCCCAGAGTACAAGAAGAGCTTTGAGAATGATGCCCAGAGCAGTGACAACATCAACTTCCTCAAAGTGCAATGGTCCTCGCGCCAACTGCCCACGGTGAGGCTGCATGCAGGGCCTGGGTTTGTGGCGGGAGCACAGAGAGAGGTGCAGCAGAGTGAATTCAGGGAGGGCAGGCAGAGCCAGCAGAGTGCACACATATCTATGCATGTGGTGGGGTAGGGGATGGATGTGAGTGAGGATGAAGGCATTTGCTTTTTTGGGGGGATGTGGGACCAAGTTAGAGTACGTTCATTCATTCAATAAATACTTCTTGAGCTTTTGCTAAATGTGGGGTCCTGTGTTGGCCATTGAGGATGCAGAAAATGAGTAAAATGCTGTTAAGTGCTTTGAAAGGCCTGTGTAGGGCTGTGTCTTCTACATTAAGGATTTGGGATCTTTCCTTAAGAGTTGAATGGGAGTGAGCATGCGCAATCCTGAGGGAAGGAGTGATTGGTGTCCGGGTCAGGAGGGCGTGGTTTGTGGGGCTTCATTCCTCTCTGGGCCTCTCCGCTCCCCAGCTCAAGCCAATTCTTGCTGACATTGAGTACCTGCAGGACCAGCACCTCCTGCTCACAGTCAAGTCCATGGATGGCTACGAATCCTATGGTGAGGGGTGAGGGGTGAGGGGTACCGAGGGGCATAGGAAGCCATGCAGGGGCCTAGAAAGGTTTGGCAATCTGCCGGTCTGCCCCATCTGCCCTTCAGGAGAGTGCGTTGTGGCGCTCAAGTCTATGATTGGCAGCACAGCCCAGCAGTTCCTGACCTTTCTATCTCACCGTGGCGAAGAGACAGGCAACATCCGTGGCTCCATGAAGGTGCGGGTGCCCACAGAGCGCCTGGGCACCCGTGAGCGACTCTACGGTGGGGGCTCCATTGGGAGGGGTGTGGGGCATGAGATGGGGTGATACAATTGGACTAGAGGGGAAGACCAGGGGCGTGGGGAGGACATGTTGAATCTCTAGAATACAGTTGTTTGGAAGTTCTGCATCCATTGCCAGGAGTGGGCCTGCCCTGAGGAGTAGCTGGGAAGAGCCTGGAAGATCAGTGAGTGTCTGGGATCTAGGACTCTAGGTCTCCCCTGAGTCTCTTTTCCTTCTTCCCTCAGAGTGGATCAGCATTGATAAGGATGAGGCAGGAGCAAAGAGCAAAGCTCCCTCTGTGTCACGAGGCAGCCAGGAGCCCAGGTGAGTTGGGGCCATGTTGGGTGTCATGAGAAGGGGTGCCTGGGGACTTTTGGTCAGCCCCTATTCACCTTTCCTGCTCTGTGCATTCCTGGCAGGTCAGGGAGCCGCAAGCCAGCCTCCGCAGAGGCCTCCTGTCCTCTGTCCAAGTTATTTGAAGAACCAGAGAAACCACCGCCAACTGGGAGGCCTCCGGCCCCACCTCGAGTTGCTCCCCGAGAGGAGCCCTTGACCCCCAGGTGAGAGAAGAACCTGTCATCCCCCTACTTTATCCATGGCTCTCAGGGCCAGCGTGGTTCTCAGGGCCAGCTTGGGGATCGTCTGCTACTTGCATGCTCTGCCCTCCATAGGTGCTGGGGCCCTACACCCATGGCCACTCTGGCTAGTCAGGCCTCCCTTAAGTGTGGCTCTGTGAGTCAAAGGGAACACAGTCAGCCTTTCCTCTCAATTCTGCCTTAAAAAGTGGAATTAGAAAATGTTTCTGCAACAGTTCCCTCCGTGTAAACAGACTTAGCTTGAGTCTTTGGGCAGAGAAGGCGCAAGGCTCAGGTCCAGGTTTCGCTCGGTGTGTTCTGTGGAGCACTACCTTATAAGATGCCCCCCTGGAAATGGGTTTGTGGTCAGATGAGTTGGGGAAATGGTTCTTGCTAGATTTGTTTCTTAGATATTCCCAGTGCATATTAGCATGAGCAAAAGCTCTGAGCATGTGGACAGGAAGGAAATCCTTTTTCAACTCTGTTGAATATAGTTTCCCAAACTTAATGGGCCAGGAAACTTCTTTTCCACATAATAACTATTACTATCCTGGGGAACTAGTATTCTGTGGATCATACTTTGGTAAAGTAAGGCTTGCTTTCTAATTATATCAAATCGTTGCTTGACTTTAAATAGAAACTCCTAGGTCCAGTTTGGTGCTTTATTCACTCTTCTTCAGCTGTTATCAATCACCTTGGTTTTAATCTCCAGGCTTGTGTAAAACTAATCTGAATTCCTGAGTTAGTATTCCTCAGTAGACTGGCCCATCAGATGCCTCCGGAGGCTTTCCAAATCTCCAGCTCGGACTGGTCACTTTCATTAAAGGCCTTTATTGCCATGCCTTCTCACACCTGTTTTTACTCCTTTACGCTCAGGTTTCAGTTACAAAGTCATAAAAGATCTTAGAATCTCAGCAAGGGAGGCAAGGAAGTTTAGGTGTTATCCATTTAACTCCCCTGAAGACACCAAGGGCCAGAGAGAGAGCGATATGCTCAAGGTCACGTGCAAGTCTGAGACTGGGACCTATCTCTTCTAACTCCCAGTCCAGCTTTCCTTCCACTGCCCCTACTACCTTCACTTTGAGTTTCTGGGTCCTGACTTAGTTATCCTGCTTCTAACCCAGGTTGAAGCCTGAAGGGTCTCCAGAGGCGGATGGAGTGGCAGCGCCCCCACCCAAGAACAGCTTCAATAACCCTGCCTACTACGTCCTTGAAGGGGTCCCACACCAGCTGCTGCCCCCAGAGCCACCCTCGCCTGCCAGGGCCCCTGTCCCACCTGCCACCAAGAACAAGGTGGCCATCACAGTGCCTGCTCCACAGCTTGGGCGCCACCGGCCGCCCCGTGTAGGAGAAGGGAGCTCATCAGATGAAGAGTCTGGAGGCACATTGCCCCCTCCAGACTTTCCACCCCCACCACTGCCGGACTCGGCCATCTTCTTGCCCCCAAGCCTGGATCCTTTGCCAGGGCCAGCGGTCCGAGGTCGTAGTGGGGGTGAGGCCCGTGGCCCACCGCCTCCCAAGGCCCATCCAAGACCTCCACTGCCCCCAGGCCCCTCACCTACCAGTGCTTTCCTGGGGGAGGTAGCCAGTGGGGACGATCGCTCCTGCTCAGTGCTGCAGATGGCCAAGACACTGAGTGAGGTGGACTATGCTCCTGCTGGGCCTGGCCACTCAGTGCTCCTGCCAGGCCCACTGGAGTTGCAGCCACCCCGAGGGCTGCCCTCAGACTATGGCCGGCCTCTCAGCTTCCCTCCACCTCGCATCCGAGAGAGCATCCAGGAGGACCTGGCAGAGGAGGTATGTGGACCAGAGGTGGCTGGCTGTGTGTACCTGAGGTATGTGCTTGCCCATGGACTGTGGTATCTTTTTACTCTACCATTCAGTACTCTGTGGTGTCCCCTCTACCCTGAGCAGGGTACTAGGGAGTAGGGGAACACATGAATTAGGCCCAGTCCTTGCCTCCCTCCCTCACAACCAAGAGCAGTTGGTAGAATATGGCCATCTTTTGGTATTTCTGTGGGTGGGCACCCTCAGTGCTCCCCCTGACATGCCCTATTCCTTCAGGCGCCATGTCCACAGAGCGGGCGTGCTGGCGGGCTGGGTGAGGCAGGCATGGGTGCCTGGCTGCGGGCCATCGGCTTGGAGCGCTACGAGGAGGGCCTGGTGCACAATGGCTGGGACGACCTGGAGTTTCTCAGGTGGGGGTGGGACTGGAGGTGGGCGGGGTGGATCTGCCCCCAGGGCTAGAGCTAGGAGCCCTCTGGACCAGAGGTCCCCAACCCCCAGTCACCAGTGGGTAGTGGTCCTTGGCCTGTTAGGAACCCAGCTGCACAGCAGGAGGTGAGTGAGAGAAGCTTCTATATTTGCAGCTGCTCCCCAGCACTAGCATCACCGCCTCAGCTCCACCTCAGATCGTCAGGCATTAGATTCTCATAGGAGCACCGGTCCCTGGTGCCAAAAAGGTTGGGGACCACTGCTCTGGACCACCTTGCCCACCTCCCAGCTTCTGTTATCCTTACAGTGACATCACCGAGGAGGACCTGGAGGAGGCTGGGGTGCAAGACCCGGCTCACAAGCGCCTCCTTCTGGACACCTTGCAGCTCAGCAAGTGATAGCGTGGCAAGGTGAAGCTGCTAACTCAGTGCTCCTCCGTGACCCCAGGAAGACCTAGTCATGGCCCCAGAGTTGAAAAGTTATGGGGGGCAGGGCAGTACCTCTCTTCGTATTTATTGGGGATCTGCGTTCCCTACTGCCCAGTCATTTGTAATGCCCTAATTAGGACATCCTGCCCCTCGCCTTTTAGACCTGGGCACCAGAGATCAGTTGCCATGGTTACCGAGGACCTCAGTTATTCTGGTGCTGTCCTCCCTATCTGGACTCCTCTTCTCAGCCCCATGGGTGCCCGAGGGGTCCATTTGGGTACGTCTGGGTCCCCACTTTCATTTTTGGTTCCTCTGGCCTTGAACCACAGCCAGAGGGGCTCAGCTTTCCCCAACTCTCACTTTGGGGTGTCCACCCGGAAATGAAGGAACAGCCCGAGAACCAGGCTGGGTTTATTTAAGTTTTTCTGTGTGGGTTTAAGGAGGGCGGGCACTTTAATATTATTGGGGTCGATTGGGGGTGGAGGGAGGATCTCTTCCATAAAGTGCCAGTTTGCTTAGTTCTTGCCGTCTCCTGGTCTATGTGGGGATATGTGGCAGTCACTGGTCCTCTGGTCGCAAGGAGGACCAGGCCCTTGCAGACAGCCTATTTCCATCTTAGGTACTCAGAGGGGTGGCCAATATGATGTCTTCAATAAATTAAGTTTTATTTGGATTGAGTGAAACTCACCTCAATAAATTACAAGTTTTAGAAAGGAAAAGAACAAAAAACAAATCAAGAGGAAACCCCTCTGTCCCATTGCCCCTCCATTCTCTAAAGGCTACCCTCTGTGCCAGACCAGCTGCAGAAGGGAGGAAATGCATGAGGGACAAACTGGCAGTGGGACACTTCAGGCTGCTGATTATCCCGCAGCCACTGGTCTTTCCATGGGTGGGATCAGTGTGAGTAGGCTCCGAGGGGCAGGGCAGCAGACTGGTCACCAAGGTGAGGAAATGACCCAGCCTACTGCACAGCGAGGGGAAGGGGCCGGCTGTTCCTCCATGAGGACCCTCACGTTGGAGCACTGTTAGGGTCGGGCGTTTTTGATCCTGGTTCCAAAGAAAGCCAAGCTAGAAGGGGCTCCGGGCTCTCCTGGGAGGGGCGTCCCAGTGAAAAGTACTCTGCTCTGCCAGGTGGGGGTGGGTGAAAACGAGAGTGGCCCCAACTTGGTCTCCAAAGCTGGGGAGGGTGCACCTAGGGGTCAGACACGGTGGGAGGTGGGGACGGATGGGGACTTCCAGGCAGGCGTCCGGGATGAGGAGGGACTCTGTCAGGTCCTGGAGGGGCAAGGACGTTTCTGGGGGCAGGCCCGGAGTCTCCAGAGTCCGGCGGCTAGAAGAGATTGGTCTTCAGGGCGGGTCCGGGCTTCCGGTGAAAAGAGGACAGAACCCCCGAGAAGGGCCCGGGCCCGGGCTCTGCTGGCTGCCAGGCCTTAAGCAGCTCTGCTGCGCCCGCGCCAGGCCCGCCGCCCCCACCGCCCGCCACGCCGGCCCACAATGGGCCCTTGAGCGGTTGCGGCCCCGGGCCAGGACCCGGCCCGGAACCCAGGGCGGCAGGCAGCGGGCTGGAGCTCAGGCGTGGGCTGGCCAGACCGGGTGCGGGCGGCGGTGGCAGCGACGCAGTGCTGTCGGGCGTTGGGCTGCACGTGGACTCCTTGGAGTCGTCGTCCTCGGACGAGCAGCGCGCCTCGCCCTTTTTGGAGCCCGCCGCGCCCGCCGCACCCTTGGCGCTAGCTGCGCGCTCCTGTTTGCGGAACTTGGCCCGGCGGTTCTGGAACCAGACCTGCGGGCACAGGTGCCAGTCAGCCCCGGACCTCAGGCGCCGGCGAGACCTCGGTCTGGAAGGGGCCGGATTAAAATGATCACCAGCCTTCCGAGCGTGGCCCCTCGGCCCTCCACCACTCAGCTCGTTGCCCTCCTCTTCACTCCCCCTCCACTTGCCCCGTTCTCCAGGTCCCTAGAGTCTTCCCCTTGGGATCCGCTCACACGCAGACCCTGCTGGAGGGGACTCCGCCACCGCTCTCATCACCCATGGCCCTGGCCCCCAATTTCCTCCTTCAAGAAATTCTGAGAATACCCGCCTGAGTGTCTCACAGAGGTGTACAGCCGTTTAGGGCACGAGGAGAAACCTTTTGTCCAGGATCTCCAGTAAAGGCGGGCAAACTGGATATTCGTACTCGGATTTGTAAGGAAGACAACAGAGTCCACCCTGGCCCGGCTCTCCGCCCTGTGCCTGCTCCAAGCCGGGGCTTTCCAGGCTGACGGGCTTCACAGCTGCAGAGCTTGGGTAGGGACCTGGAGGCACTGACCCGCTTTCCCCAACTCCTCCGCCTTGGTGGGACCTGAGGTCGCCTGGAGCACCCCCTTTACCCACTCATCCTCCGTCTTAGCTTCTCCAGCACCACTCTGCCCTACCAGGATAAGTGAAGGGAAAATCGTAGGGCTCACGTCTCCTGAGGGCCTCAGGTCTGCCAAGTCCTGAGACATTCCATCTCCTCCTGCGCAACCATGCCTGGCCTGCGCCCTGGCCGGCGCCCTGGCCCCTAGCCCTCCCTAGCTCTCCTACAGGCTGCACCTGCCTGCCGCCAAGTGAGATCTCCCTCGTGTTGGGCACTAACCTTCCTTGCCTTTCGCGTGTACACTCTCATACACACACGCGCGCATACACACACCTGCACACGAGCCTCGGTGAGGTCGATCTTGAGCGCCAGCTCTTCCCGCGTGTAAATGTCAGGGTAGTGGGTCTCGGCGAAGACGCGCTCCAGCTCCTTGAGCTGCGCGCTCGTGAACGTTGTGCGGATGCGCCGCTGCTTGCGCTTCTCGTGCAGGCCCGACGGCTCCGGGAAGAACTTGTAGGGCACTACGGGTGTGCATGGGAGGGGGAGCAACGAGGGTGGGGTCGTGAGGGATCGCGCTCAGCCCGCTGTGTCCTGCCCCTGAGGGGGTCGCTCAGCGTCCCCCGCCCCTGGCCTAGACCCTCAGCTTCGTCCTCTCAGTCTCGGATTCAGCGTTCTTTTTCGTTCGCTAGAGCCGGCGTGGGGTGAAGGCGGACAGGGCGCAGGAAGACCCAAAAGCAGCAGCGAAGGAACCAAAATCTGATCTTCTCGTCAAGGCCGCTGACCGGTTGTTGGCTCTCTCGGTGTCCCCTCCGCCTCCCGCAGTCCACCCGCCCCTCCGGCCCTCATCAGCGTGTCTCTCCCTCAGTCAGTCTGCTCGCTTGACTTCAGGTCCTGCAGAGTCCACCGTAGCCTTGTCTGGCTGTCATGTCTCATCAGCAAGCAGCCCAGCACCTCTGCTAAACGACTGAGACCCTCCCAGACCCCTCCCCCCGCCCCCGCCTGGATCTGCTTTCAATCCCGCCACGGGCTCTCTGCGGGGTACTGATCTGTGCCCCCACCCCCCATCTCGATCCTTCCCAGGCCTCGTTTCCTCAGCCCCATCTCACATCCCATTCTCCTCCAGGTGTCCCCTTCTCTTCATCATCTCTCTTTATCCCTGTCTCGCTTCAACTTTCTCCTTATTTGTGCCCATTGGGAAGGGTCCTTATTTCTCCCCACCCAGGTTCCTCTGTCTTATCTTTCCCCTTCTTTCTCCCAGGCACCCCTCTGGGTGTTCCAACTCCCCTGAAGCTGGCTCCACCCCTTCCTGTCATTCTCTTCCCTTCCATCTTCATCTACCCCTTCCCAGTTCCCACTGCCCCACAGAGAGTGTTTCTGACACTAACTCCCCATCCCTCTCTCCAAACCCTGCTTAGGTCTCCATATTTTCCAGGGGTCCCCAATATTCTTCATCTTTGTTCTATCTCTCTAGTTCTCTATCTCTCCCAATCTTTGTCGCCAACACCCCATTCTTATCCCCATCTTCCTCACTGTTTTCAATCTTCCTTGGTCCCCATCTCCCATGCTTCTGTTTCCATCACCTGATTCTTATCTCCATCTCCCCAAACCTGAGTCCCCATTTCTCCCAGAGTCCCCAATAGTCCTATCTCTGCTCACCTCTCTCTGTACCTGTCCCTATATCCCCATCTCATAACTCCATCTCTCTGGGGCCCATCTCCCTATTTCCTTTCTCCAACTCCCCAATCCCCATTCGCATCGGGTCCAGTGTCTCCATCCCTGTTCCAGTTTCTGGCTCCACCTCTCTGGTTCTCATTTCTCCAGATCCAGGTCTTTAACTCACCATCCCTCCCTACCCCCTGCCCCAGGCCCCAATCTTCTACTTGGGTTCCCCTGGTCTTCCCAGGAAGGAACAAGATAAGGAGATTGGGTGGGGCAGCCTGGACTCCAGTCAGAATGACAGGGATGCCTGAGAGGCTCCATGAGGCTGAGAGTTTAGCCGGGGACTTGGATCAAGGGGCTTGGGTGTCCTAGGGGCTGCTTCTGGGTTCTGCAGGACTCCAGCTGGTAGAGTCTCCAGGGGGCTAGGGAAATGAAAATGGCTTAATGACCTTGGCACCTTTTTCTTCGGGTCATTGAACAGGTTTCAGTGGTGCAAGGGGGTTTGGGCGCAGGTGGGATGGGCAAAACTGGGCAGGGGGAACCTGATATTTCTGGGGCTCTAAGAAGGTTTCCATATGGGCAGCTCAGCTGCTGTAGGGGTCTTTGCTGGGGGTTGAGCATGAAGTGGGTGGGGATGATAAGGATGAAGGTCTGTTTAAACTGAGCCGGAAGCGGCTTCCAAGGGGATGGATGATCAGTCTTTCAGGTGAGGAGGAGAGGGCCTGGCGAGGGGCCTGGGCTTGGAGCGGCGATCTGTTTCCTTGACCCGAAGAGCGTGGGATAAGAATGTGGCAGCAAAAGAGGAACGGGAAGAATGAGAGGGTGGGACTCAACTCTACCTAGGGTCACCCCGTCTTACAAAGGGAACTGGGGGTCCTGCGGGACACTGGGGGGTCTGGCCAGGCTAGGGATGGTGGCAGCTGTTGGGGACAGTCGCGGTCACTTGCCGACTAGGGAAGCGGATGGAGGTTCCTCAGGATTTGGAGAGAGGATTGGGACGGGGCTGGGCTCACCTGCCGAGTAGGGCGCGGGCTGGTGGTCGCGTAGAGCGCCAAGCGCGCAGTTGGAGGAGCCGAGCGCCGGGCAGGGCGGCCCGGCCGCGGGGAAGGCGGGCCGCAGGGGGCTGTATTGGAAGCCGCCGGGCTGGCTGCAGGCGCCGAAGTCGCCGTAGGCGGACGCCTCCATGGCCGCCACGCACGAGTCGTACGAATTGAGGTAGGAGTAGTCCATCGGCCCGGGAGGCGAGGGCGGGGGCCTGGCCGGGCCGGGTCTGGGTTGAGGTGCCGGGCTGGGTGCGGGTCGGAATGGGGGTTCGAGCGCCAGGCACCGAGGACCCAAGGCTGGCTCTGAGCGCCCGCAAGTCCGCCCGCCCCGTCGTGGCCGCGCTCCGCCCGGGTGCGACGCAAGAGCAGCTTGGCTCGGCCCGCGCGCCTTTTAACGCGCAGGACCCCGTGGAGGGGGTGGGGCGGGGCGAGCTCCTCGAGGCGGGGCCTGAGCAGCCCCAGACCCCGCCTCTATCTATCCTCGACCCCTCCACCCCAAAGGGTCCCCGCGACCTTCTGAGGGCTCCGGAGGTGCAGGGCGGGGCTGCGCGAGACCCTATTCTTAGAGTCCCCATCCCGCCTCACTCCAGACCAGACCTTTGGTCTCTACGCATCGTGCCAGGCCTGAGGGTCCCGACCCCTTTCCCTGGCTTCCCCACCTGCGGCCCGACAGAAGGGAGGGGAGACGGGCCTGAGAGCGCTCGTGTGAAGTTAATTCAATTCGTCCTGATAACCGAGTTATTCCGATCCAGCCCCTAGGCCCCGCCCCCAGAGAGGTCCCATCCCGGCGGGCCACGGAGGCGGCCCAGGAGGGGGGATGGAGACACGAACGAGGAAGAGACGGAGTCTGGGGTAGGGGCGTGGATGAAGAGGAGAGACAGAGACACATGCAGAGAGAGCAAGAGACAAGAGAGATACAGGTACACAGATGGAGACAGGAGTAGACATGGACGAGAGAGGGAAATTGGAGACGGGAGCAAGAGGAGGACAGGGACAGAGATGGAAACAAAGGTAAAACCTGGACTAGAGGAATGCAGGGGTGGAGATGAGGACGAGGCAGAGACAGGAGACAGGATAAGAGAGACACAGAGGGGAACGGAGAAAGGGAGGCGGCATCGAGACCGAGAAGGCAAAGAGATGAGACATGGACGGAAAAAGGATTGCGATGGAGATCAGGAGAGAGATGAGACAAAACAGCGCAGTGATAGACAGACACACACGGAGGGACAGTCTCAGAAAGACAAGGCCAGGGACAGACAGCGGAGGAACCGAGGCTGAGAGGCGGAGAGAAAGAGTCTTTGGAGAGCTGAGACCCAAGACGCAGCGCTAAGGGCGCGGGAGGATTGTGGTGCAGGCGCTGAGCGCTGCTACAGAGGAGGAGGGTCGCAGAAACCGAGACCCCTCTATCCTCCTGACTTGTCCTGAAGGCCACACTACCTTGCCTTGCACCTTCAGGGCCCGGCCTGCTTCTCCCCTCTCCCGGTTCCCCCAGCTCAGTCCTCTTGCCCGCGGCCACCGGTGTGACCCTCTGGTTCCCAGCACCCCTAGGCACAGTGTGATGAGTGTCAGGACAGGGAGTAACGGAGTGATCCCTTCTCTTGCCCTCAGCCTCTCATCCCTCTTCTCTAGAGAATCTTTTCTTCTCCAGGAAAATCATCTAGAGTCAGTCTGGACCTGACCACAGACATGGCCCTTGGTGGATTCAGCCACTGGCATCCACAGTGGGAGGACCAGGACACAGAATTCCTTCCAGAGAACAGAACAGAGAATTCTTCTGCCCCAGCAGCTCACCTGAGGTGAATTGGGCAGCTTCCCCACCCAGCCCCCAGCCTCCTCTACTCAAATCTCAGCAGGTCCAGCAGGTGGGGGAGTGGAGACCCAGCAAGAAGCCAGGGAAGGGGGCGCCCTTATTAACAGTCAAAGTCCTTGGGGGATGAGAGAAGGGCTTCCAGAATATCCATCTCCCCAGTTTACTAGCACAGTGGGGAGCATGCATACCCCTCAGGTCGTACACTTCCCAGGCCAAATTCTTTGCTTCATAAAAGGACTACCTATCCCCAACTTCTCTAACTCCTTCATGCAGGTGGGGGGTAGGGTAGGGGGTGGGGGTGGAGTTTTTTGAGGTGTTTAATAACTTTTTAAGGTCTAAACTTCTAAAACTTACAGTAAAACTGCTTCCAAAATTTCTCCCCACTGATGTGTGAGGTGTACCTCTCTCCCTGGTCACATCCTCTACAGGGAGGCCAAGGGATCTCAGAATTGAGACGTCAGACAGTGCCATGGCTCTCTATTGCCCCCAGGATCAAATCCAAGCCCTCACTCTGAATAGTGCCTGGCATATAGCAAACATTAAATAAATTAGCTACCACCATCACCACTACTACCCCTTCTTTGTCTTACCAAGCGATTTAATCCTCTGTGACTAGACCCAGACCACATTCTGGTCAGGCTCCACTGATCTATTACACCTGATACCTGGATATATAATCTGGACATGGACCCCTATCTTTGCACCACAGCATCACATCTGACCTCAGGATTTCAGATGATATTAAGCCCTACAGAGTTACCCGGTCTGACCCCTTAATTTTTGCAGCTGAAGAGATTGAGGCCCCGAGAGGGGTCCCGTAGGAAGAATAGAAGTAAAAACAGTGGGAGTGTGTCAGGGTGGGAAGATCCACCCCGCCACACACACGGAGGGAGTAACATGCAAAAAGGAACTTGGGAAATGGGTACAGTGGGGACTGTCCTTTTTCTTCTGCTCTGATTCCAGCTCGGACGCTAACTTACGCTGTGATCATGGACAGTACAAGTGCCATGAGAACGGATGAGGAAAGATCATGCCCTGGAGAACTCTTTCTGCCTGTGGTCTTTGGAGAATGGTAGCCTGGGAATTCCCAGATACCACCACCTTATCCCTACTTCTATGAGCAGCCACTGATCTTAGCTTCCCTTAAGAACTCTGAGCAAGGATCTCCTGGTTTCAGGGCGTGGCTACCACGTTGATTTATTAATTCAGTACACTCCTTGTCAGTCCTTCTTTTCTATGGGGGGAGAGCATGGAGCAGCAGCTCCTCCCTACCACTGAAATGCATCCTCTCACACTCTGAAGCAGTGTCCTCAGTGTCATCATTGTACATCTATGATTGGAAGCCAAGCTGATCAGACATTCATGTTTAACTTCTAAATAAGGGATGGAGCTTATCTATCAGTGAGAAGTTAACATATTGTCTGGTTCTACTTAAGGACACTAGTAGTTCTCTCATTTATCTACCAGCTCCATAGCGGCCTTTCCCCAAATCCCCATTCTCTCCTATTAGGATTCTCTGGTTCAGGGAAGGTTGGAGGCAAACACATTAACTTTATGTTCTCCCAACTTGTCTATCAGAACTTATAATCTTTTGTTCTTCTTTTTTATGGGAACAACACTTGTTGACCCTTTTCTTCTTCCCGCTAGTAACTTAGGCTATCCAGTCTGCCACTAATTCCTATTTTTGTTTTTAGTTTCTAGCTTTAGGCCTCCCCAGGACCCCAAATGTTCAGCCCTCGGGGATCCCTGAAGAATGAGGAAAGATCTTAATCCAGTTCTACAAATATTTTTGAATGTCTGATCTATGATGGAACTTCATGGGGCTCTAGATACATAGGGTAAATTAATCCTGGACGCTTTCTTTAAGGATCTCCTAGTCTGTTTGGCACATGGGCACTTATCTATGGGGAGGTTCTGCCAAGAATGTTTTAGTTGTCTGGGCAAGAGAATGGCACATAGGAGGTGAGGTGAGTTGACTTGTTAGGTGATAATGAAGAAGCTGGGAAACTATTGTACGTTGTCTCATAGAACTTGACCTCAACTTTCCCCCTGCCCTGCAGTTGCAACTTCAGAGGATTAAATAGAGAAATGGTAAAATATTGTACTATACTGCCTACATTTGGTGACCTCAGGAAGGTGCTTCAAGAGGGGATGAGCAGATGAAGAGCAGCATGATAATTTGTAACTCCAGTAAGGATGTCTCTGCCTGTGGCCGGCAATCTGAGGCTGCAGCAAGAGGATAATCATGTGCTTTGCAGATTGTCAAGCTCTCTGTCACACCCAAAAGTGAATGCATTGATTAGGAAATAGTGAATGTCTGAAAGGTGAAATGAAATTTGGGAAGACCTAGAGGAATTAGGGAAATGTGATTCTCCTAGTATTTCTTGGCACTCTGGCCCAACAGCAGGAAAGAGTTGACATTCATTATTCTTTTGCTGGAATCTGGCGTGTGAAACCACTTTGTAAGTTAGAAGAATTCCCCACCTGATATATGCCAGATACTTGCTTTATGAACTTTCCTCACAACCAGGGTACAGATGCCTGACCTAGTGCCAGCCAGTAAGGTACACTGATCACAGACTAAGCTAAGGAATCTTTAGCCAAGGAAGTGAGGACTCAGGGACCATAAGAATTCTCTCCAGGGCAATGGGATTGTAGCAATATCTAGTTCCAGGTGCAGCAGAGCTTGCTCTTGGCAGTGTTGGGGATTCAGTGCCAAACACATAAGCTGTGCAAGGGGTAGGACTGTCCTCATGGAGACAACAATGCAGGTTAACTTACGGCATTGTTTCTAGTTGTGTGGCTCTGTATCTGGTCTTCCAGTTGTTCCAGCAATTCTCTGAGATATCTAATGTCTTTTATAAATGTAATATATTTAATAAAAACTTTTTTTTTTGCTTTTTTTAAACTAAGAGTTAGTATCTGTTCCTTATACCTCATGACTCTAATTAGAAATTGGTACTAGACTGGCTGAGTGCATCAGACTCTCAGAGAATTGGTTGGAATGTGGGAATAATTGTATAGCTTGGTTGGGACTAAAGACAGTGAAAATGCAGAGATGGAGTGGCATTCAGTGCGAGAAGAAGTTTATCTACTTATTACCAGTGGTCACCTGGAATGAAGCATCCATTGGAAGCATAGTCTTAGGGCACTGTCAGAGATCAGTGCAAAGGGAATGAGGGACGCAAGGATTGTGAGGAGGTATAGAAAGCTTAGAGAAAAAGTGAAAGGGTTAAACATCTAAATCAAAGTTTGCTCCCATGTGAGTTATACTGTTTGGAAGAGGGACATGTTGGGATGATGATAAATGAGGATTTGGATGTCTAAGAGAGCCCTGGGCCCTCTACGAGTTAGCATCAGGTTGGGTGCACATATGGAAAAATCCAAAATAACAATAGAAAACAAAATAAATCTCATGATTTCTGTGGGTCAGGAATCTGGGCATGGCTTACCTGAATCTTCTGCTTCAGAGCCTCTCACAAGACTGCAGTCAAGGTGCTGGATCTAAAGTCTCAGGTGAAGCCTTGACTAAGAAAAGATGGATTCCA